ATGAGCTGTAGTCTACCCTCCGTAGAGGGGGTTCCATAGGGGATTACGTAAACAAGGAACCATAGGCCTTATTAAGGGGGATGCTAGGAGTTTAGGCTACAGCTCTTATAAATAGATGTATAAAGACAATTGTAGAGTGGGATACATAGGCTAGTAGGGGTATATAGGGAGATGGGGGCAGGGGAAGGGAAAATTGTACTCCCAGCGTTAATTGGCGTTGAGAACTGCCAGTTTCTGGGTAGCTGGGTAGCTAACATTCAGCCGCAATTTCGCCTGTTGGGGTACATGTAACCGATGTAACCCTGGCATACTTGAAAGGTTGGCATTTTAGGGGTCAGAGTGCTGGGAACAAGGCTTACAGTTCAGGATGCCAATCAGCTGTCACCGTGGAGCATTTTTTCCAGAGGTGCATATGCCGCATAGGGCGCATCTGGGGTCTGCGAGAGAGTAGGCTGAGATGACCAATTTGCAGTTGCGGACCAGTTATAGCATAGGTAGGGACACCCAAGTTGTAATCAGGCACTACCCTATAGCCCCTAACTCACAATGTCCCAGGGGAGTGCTGCTAATTTTTCGTAAGTTCTCTACCTGCGTTTTTACTAACTCACTCTGCAGGGCTCAGTTAAGCCCACCTATGACCCAGGCAATGTTATTCTCAGGGGCGCTGCATGAAGTTTGAAATGCTGATGCCCAGTAAACAGAGTCTAGAGCTTCAGAAGCCTGGGAGGCCTTGTTCCAGGATGCGTTTTGTAGCCGACATGGAATCTGCGGATATGGGGAGTGTATCAGGGGACCTTTATGGTTAGCATAGCCACAACCATGGCAAGGCAGGCTGAGTTTAGGATTCAAAGGATGAGCCATGAGCCCTTAGTCTGGGCCCTTTATCTACGCGCTACATATACAGTACCCCTTCGAGCTCCTAGACCCTTTTCAATTATGCTCATAATACCCCCCTCCACCCCCCGGGGCCCCCACTCCCCCAACACTGAAAATTTCTCCTAACATTCAACTTTTGGGGTATTAATTGTAAGGTGGGGGCAGGTTACTATCAGAGATGTCAGGGGAGGGGGATGAACCTGCTATGACAAAATAAGAGGACAACTGTTGACCACGCCAGTTGTTCGTAATGTGACTACCTTGCATTTTGGGCTTCGCGTCTGGGGCTCCAACGCTTGGGGGGCTTTAGTTTAGGGGTTGGGGTTCCCGGTTTAGGATTGAGGGTTCAGGTTTCGGAGTCGTCCCTGATAAAGGGAAGTGCATAGAGGTTATCTGGATGAATTGTTGAGGATTGGTTTTAGCTTGTTACTTTCAAGCCCAATTAGGAATATCGGAATATGGACTTCAAACCCGATGGTGCGGTTGTCATATTGGGATTAGTTCTTAGATCCACCAAGGTGGCTGAAACGCAAGGCTTCTGATAGCCAGAACCCGAACCCTGCCAGTAAAGGTAATGTAGAACCCTGAAAAAGTTGTGGGCTTATCCCTAAGCCCTAATGAAGGTTTAGTATGCTATATCACTTCACTAAACCCGATTCTAGGTTTTAAAGCGCCCAAAACCTGTTTGGTCGCAAAAAGGAGCCTCGGAACTACATGGTATGAGATATGTTTGACCATGGAGCCCGGGTGCTAATAGCTATGCCAAGAATCCCACTTGAACCACCCATGGAGCTCCACTCATGCGACAAGGAAGCTGCTCTTGCTGGTGTCCCTCATGCTCTCCCTGTTGCTTGGCCAGGGCTAAACCTCTTTGAGGTATGGTATGACCTTATGCAGTATGTACTGCATACATAACCTGGGTCCTTGATATGAGTAATGCTCCAAGAGTTTGTCCTACGGAAGTCTATCACCACTAGACCCTAAACGGCGCGGCAACATATGGTCAGCAGTTAGAAGGCGGAAGGTAGCTTGACATGTGTCGGTGTCCAAAAATGTAGGGTTTCGCCTTCTTGGGGGGGGGGTCCCTGCCATAAAAGTTGTACTATATCGGGGGTATATAAGTTGGACCCCTGTACTCGGAATCCCCATGTGCTCGTACACAGCAGGGTTTGTTTGTATGGATCACGCCGTTTCCGAACAAGGCATCAAACATGTCTCAACCGTGTTTGGATCACGAGTTGTCCGGCAAAAGTTCCACCGGGTCGGAGGCTGTTCCTTGAATCTAGAAAAGGCTGAATGTGTTGTTTCCATGCAGGTTCAGTGTGGAAGGGGGACGAGAAGCCCTAAAGCCCTAAAATCCAAGTTGTTCATTTCGGCTTTAGCAATTCCTTAGCCCTTAAGCGCTGGTTTTTAGGGTTTTGGCTTGATTTGGACTCTCCTTGAACAATGCCTCCTAGGTGCCTACCACATCATGCCAGCTTTTTCAGAACACCCTTATTTTGAGAAGCTCACCTTTCGCGCGTACACTCACGCCCCACACCTCAAAACCCAAAGCCCCGAGCCTCAAACCTGAAACCTAGAACTTTTTTGCGCTGCACTTGAAGGCCTCAGCCCTGAACATCCAACCCCGAACTCACAAAATCACAAACCCGAGGCCTCAGAACCCTACACACACCATGATCCCTAAATAACCCCTACATATCCTAGATTTCATGATTCCATTTCATCTTTCAGTTGATTCTCCATCATCCCTAAACCGCTTTATATACATGTATACATATGTATACATATATATATATTATGCTCATACATACAGGTGCCAGTGTTAGTATACACCATATAAGTGGCTGAGAATATCATTTAATAAGCCAAAGATATGTAAGTTGTATACAATGTATTAAAAGATAGGGGGTGATCCCTCATAAGCCTTATACACGCCCTGTATATGTACACTATATGTGTGTATATATACATATACACATGTACAATATAATACAATGTAGACATGTGTATTTTCACCCGCCCTCTAAAGGCTACAACCTTTAACCCTAAACTTTACCCGAGAATCTTTTGAACCAAGGAACATACTCCATAAACCCTATATCCTAAGCTCATGATCAAGCCCTATACAACCCCCGATAAACCTTACATCGAGGACTTTACCCCATAAATCCTATACCCAATAAGCCTTAAAGCCCTATACCCCTCATAAAGCATTATATTTCTTGCATCAAGGAATATTCTCCAGAAGCCCTATAGCCTATAAGCCTTACAAGCCCCATAACCCCCCCTAACACAGTACACTCCCGGAAACTCACATGAAAACCAAAAAAAGGGCCCTATAAAGACCACAGTCCTTCTAAAAGGGGACGATATGGGTTTCCATGTTAGTTTGGGGGAGTGTACATCAAGGATTGGGGTCTTGCTGCGCGGCCTGCCAGCTGCAGCGTTGTCCACGGATCGAGGACCTTCTTGCACAAGAGCTGACTTTGGGTTGGGGTTTGGTTACGGGCCTAATGGTTTGTGGTTAGGGAGCTGACTCTTGGGTTAAGGTTTGGGGTTGAGGGACTGATTTCTGAGACCTGTGGAGTCGACTTGTTGGCAGCAGAGAAAGAAATGTCATCCTTCATTGGACAGCGCCAATGAAGAAGTCTATCTTTCTTTCCAACAAGGGTGCTCAGTGAAAACTAGGGGCAGCTCAGATGGGGATGGTCGACCCTGGGCATGGGTGTGAGACAGCATGGGCAGATGTTTGGTTGCTATCATTATTTCATCCTGCGAAGGGGCGCAGCCATTCCCATTCGAGTTTTACTGAGGTGGCGGTAGGAAAAAAAATGATGACGAGTCAATGTTACAAATGATCTATGAGGCAGATTTTGTTATCTCAGTTGCAGAGGCATGAGGCTGAAAACAGTGCTGACTGCTTTTGGAGGCAACCTGCACGAATGGCCATGGGCCCATGGTCAGTATACTTGCCTTCAGCCTCTTGGCTGACTATGTATACAGGGTTCAGCTGTCGAGGGTTTCGGGTCCCGTGTTCAGGGCTTGAGGGCTGTCCGTCCTGCCGAGTGGGTACCCTATAAGCTTTTAGTGTACTTTAGAACCATGTAAATCACATGTTTATGTTATCCCCCTAAATGTTGGACACCCAAGTTGTGGTATTGGTTATGCCCACTGGTGCTCCTCGGGTCCAAGTGCCTCGTGCCTACCCTGCCGCTAGAGTACTGGTGGTGGCGGCATGAGCAGCACCACTCGCATGAGTCATGTCAGTAGCACAGTTTGAATCTGCAGCACTAATAGCACCAGTAGCGCTAGGAGCAACGGGAGCAGCTGTAGCAGTAGTGCAGTAGAGGTCGAAGGTAGCAGCAGCTTTACGACAAGCAGCAGGAGTAGGAGTAGTCATAGTAGCATCAGTGGTGATGGTGGTGGTAGTACCACTACCACTACCCGCTACCACTACCACTACTACTTCCCACCGCTACTAATACTGCCAACGACCACGACCATGACCACTACTACTAGTCCCCATGGTTTTTAGCTTACACTGTGTGTGTGTGTGTGTGTGTGTGTTTGTGTGTGCGTGTGTGTGCGTGGTAGGCTTCGGTTCTGTTACAGTTATTACGGAGTCCTTTTTTCTTCCACTACACAACATCCGTAGCCCTACGTGTTCAACTCGCTGCTGAACTCATCTTACTGGACTTGCGTAAGCTATTTCCCTACTGATAAGACCCAGCGCTACCCTTGACCATAAATATTCCGCGAACAGACCATAGCACATACCATGCTGTGAGCACTGCAACCCTAAACCCTAAACCCCCAAACCTGGATGATGTGGCTTGTAGTATCAGCTGAGGGGATTAGTACCGTGGGTATCCAGTCAGCTTTACGGGGTAATGTAAGCTTTTACTACGAAACCCGCAGATGGAGTACTTTCCTCCGAAGGGTTTCGGGGTTATACCTGTGTTTGATGAACCTTTCAAATGACACCAAATGACTAGAGTAGTTCATATAAGAGCCAGACCGGGGTCATATCCGGGGGAGCCTTTTAGCGGTACGACCTTTGCGGATACAACCCTCGCCCTGGAACACGTGAGTTCTGCTTCAGGCCCGACAAATGTCGAGACATGGAGGCGCAGTTTTAGAACGACGTGACCCTAGGGCTCCATGTCTATAAATAATACCTACATTGGGCCCCAAAGTCTATAAATATGACCTACATTGGGCTATTTGGAGCCTTAGGGTGAGAAGGGAACATTAAAGGGTCTAGGTTTGTGTGTGTGAATATGGTATATACATGTTACACACTTACGTTTACACGCACATGTAGGGTTTCCTTAGCAGCCTTAGCACACACGGCAGTTGCTACAAAAGTGTGTGGACCTTCACGGATGTATATACTGATGCAAACTCGGTCTCCCTCTCATTTGTTTGTTCCCGTTTAGTTCTCTACTATTCCTCTAGACACCTGCACCCTACACATCCCTACATAGCCCTTTTACAAAGGGATGCATATACACATGTGGAGCTATCTAACAGGAATACCCCTCGTGCCAGGGACGTGTGTCCGATGAGGCATAGGAAGGTGTTGCGAAGGTGTGCAGGGAGCATTCCATGTTGGACCCTCGAATGGGGACCCACGACTCTCATGTGACTCTTAAAGGGGTTGGTGTTTCAGACATCTGTTGTTTTGTGGAATTGGCGCAGCGTCAAAGGCACAAGAAGTTGCACTGCCAAATGCTATGCATGCTTCTTGCAGCAGTAGTGTTGCGGGAAATATTCGTGATACATATGGAACATAAGCAAATCCCATGTGACATATGTATGCTGCCTGAAGTGCATTGACTTCCATCTACAAACGCTATAGTACCCCTATAAGCCCGTCAAAACACGCATATAATCCCTATATACCCCTATAGTACCCCTATGGGACCCTCTAGGCGTGTGAAAGTTTTTGGGCATCTGGAATGTGGACGGTAGTCACTTTGAGCAAGCATCCTAATCCCCCATGACCATAACAATGTGTATATATATATATGCATTTAGTATCTAATAGGGTTTCCCCAATATAGTACGTCATGAGTTTACTGGGTTGCTGTTAAGGAACTTAGTTTAAGTTACTATATTCGGTTTGTTACCATGTATACCCATTATGGCAACTTAAATTAAATTCCTTAACAGCAACCCACTTAATGTTAGGTTGTAGGTTTCGTGCGTGTATGTCGGCTGCCTTAGGATTATTTGTGCTGGCTGCGTGTATGTACAGGGCGTCCATTTGGCGAGACCATGCGTGTACACCCTTCTTACAATCCCCAGGCCCCAAGCTTTCCATATACCCGCACCTTGAATGCAGGACAGGGAACAACAGCTATCAGAAGGATGGTTCAAGAAACATGATGCAGCGAGCTCGCGGCCGTGACCACCCAACCATCCCCGCGAAGACCCTCAAACACTTCAACCCTCCAACTCATGACTTTCTTTTCCGCAGCCCCGCAGAAGTTTGTGCTGGTTCCCTCCCAACAAATTTTCAAGCTGGGAGACATATGCATTCTTCTGCAAACTCATTCAAAGCGTGCTGGTGGTTCAGGGGTCGTGTGGTATAGAAAATAAACAGGAACAAGTAGAACAAGGGCATGGGTACGGATCCACCCCCCAACTCTCCGCTCAAGGGGTCCGTAAGAAATTTACAGTGTTCGTGAGGCAGGCATCTTCATAGGACTTGAAGCGCTCCTCGTCGACAGCCCCAAGTACCGTATCTACAAGGCCAGTGCCGCTTAGTGTGGGGGTTTGTATGGGTATAATGGAAAAGAAAATGGAAACTACCATATTATATAGGGGTTTATATGGGTAAGTTGAGGGCTTTGAAGGCTTAGAGTTCAGGGCCAAGGCATGCGTGGCATATGGGCTCAAGGTGCATGGTACAGGATTTGGGACATGTGGGATGTACTTCGGCCTTAAGGTTGGCTTAAGGTCTTGGAGCTAGAAGCCCTAAACCCTAAACCCTAAACCCAAGCGCAAGTCATAGATTTGGGGTAGAAAGCATCCCTGCACTGGCTTAGCCTAACCCCAAGGCTCCATGTAGGTACGATTTATAGGGTTTAGGGCCCAATGTAGGGTTTAGGGTTTAGGGTTTAGGGCTCAGGGCCCAATGTAGGTATTGTTTATATACTTGGAGCCCCAGGGTAATACAGAGTCACCCCTCTAGGCCGGCAGAGAGCAACAAAAACAACACAGAAACCCTAAAACCCTAAACCCCTAAACCCTAAACCCCTAAACCCTAAACCCCTAAACCCTGAACCCTAAACCCTAAAACCCCAAGCCCCTAAACCCTAAACCGTTGTGCGAGGCTTTGGTCTGAGCTGGGTTTTTCCCCTCCCCCTAAAATGGGTTAGGGTTCAGGGTGGGTTATATAGGGGTTATATAGGGATAATGGAGAAGAAAATGGAAACTACGGGTTTAGGGTTATATAGGGGTATATCGGGGAATGGAAAGAAACGGGAAACTACTCAGTTATTTAGGGCTTAGGTGCGCTTATCTAAGCTAAGCCCCACCCCTAACATCAAAGGTATAGTTGTAGAAAGTTGGGAATGTTTAATGTCGGCGGGGCATTGGGGCCTTAAACCTTAGGGAGAGGACTTTTGGCGGCTCTGTATAGATGTTGGATACGCTTGCGATCTGCCCCTTTGTCTAATTTTTTCGGGTAAAGCCGAAATCAGATTCCCCGTGCAAAAGGGTATCCACCTCATGGTCTAGGAATTCTGGATAAATCCTAAACCCTATAGGCCCTAAACCCCATAAACCCTAAATAAATCCTAAGCCCTTGAGGCGATTCCCTGGAATGCTGACAACTGCGTTGCGGATTTGAGCTCCCTGGGTGCGGGCGAGTACTGCAACATCTGTCGCGATGCCTCCAGAGGCAGCTCGGCATCACGCGGGTTTAGGGTTTAGGGGGTTTTGGAGTTTCCAAATACATGGTGGGAACCTTATACGCCCTAATGCATTATAATCTTTATCAGGTGTGTACCCTTTAAGAAGGCCCATGTAGACCTCAAAAAGCCCCGATACCCCTTTGCGACCACTACATCAGTCTTATATGGGATAGGCAGCTGGTACCTACACTCCCCCAAACTAACATGGAAACCCATATAGTCCCCTTGGCCCTTTTTGGGTTTCCATGTTAGTTTCCAGGAGTGTACCCACCTGGGAGTTTCATTGGCAAGGCTGTGCAGCGATGGCATTCATCTCGATCGGATGCAGCCTGTTCAACATCTGGACAGATGTGCAACGGATGCGGGCTAGGAGTCTCGACCTGCAGATTCCAAAAGCAGTGGTAGGCTGTTGGGGTAATGTAGACCCATGATTAATGAACCCCCTCCTTTTGAGGGCCTGAATATCGGGATCCCTATTAGGATCCCCATTAAGGGGAGGGGTTTATTAATCAGGGGTCTACATTACCCTGAGATACAAGGGGCCTAGTAGATGGCCCAGAAATGCATCGCAATTTTGACGGCCCCGAATGTAATCATGATTCATGGGCTTGCTGTAAGGCATGCGTACGGCATGACCTGATGCAAGAAATGGATACCCTAAATCCGAACCCGCCCCCAAAGTAACACGCAGTTTGCAACGCACTCCAGAAAGAGCATTGTCCCTGCTGATAGTTTTATAGGGTTGCCACTATGCAGGATGAGGTGGCTAAAATCCCCTTATTAGACTGGGGAAATGAATCTGTGCAAATGTCTTTCTTCATAATAGTAGGCCCCTGTCCCCTGAACCTATACAACCCTAATCCTAGATCCTAGAAAAGTCCCTGGGTGCTTGCTCTTCCAAGGAATGACCACAACTGCATCAAGGCTCTTGCGATTGCTTGGCACCCGGTTTTCTTGCCTTTGGTTAGTTGGGAATGAACTTACGGAAAAGAACATGTCAACTACTATAATGGGTTATATAGGGACGACTACAAGGATCCATTCCTTCATTCCTAGCTAACTAAAGGTATGTTGTGCCATAGATTTTGCGTGCCTGGCTGAGCCTGCAGGGTGAGGGAGAGAGAGTGGGGTGAGCGAACATACTACGGCAGCTTGTGTGTTTTTCCTTCCTTGTAATTAGCTGATACATGCTCTTAAGCCTGGCCTTCTCATTGTGAACCCGGTTCCCTTCTTCTCTCCGTATGTCATTCTTGAGCCCGAAAGCCTAAACGCTCAAACTGAACTTCATGCCTCTTCTTGAGGAACCTCTACCTCAAATTTTTAAGAGCAACGAGCAATGTACTTGTCATGAATAGCTTGCACGGGTAGGGTTCGGGAACATTGGGCCTATAGCCTTTTCTGATAGGTAAGGCTACTCTGGACCTCCATGTACCAGAATAATATCTGGGGTTGTTGAAGTCAGGTTGCTCCTGAAAGGTTCCTCCTACGATAGTTTTTTTAAGCGCTGCTACGGTTCCTAGGGTCCTTGAAGCCTTAAGTTTTTTGAGTTACCCCTGTAGAAAATTCTGTCAACCAGCGTGGCCTCTGAGTAGCCCTGATTTAACACATCCCTAAAGGCCCCAAGCGCTCTCAAATATCGCGCAGCCAGCAAGCAAGTTCTGCTGTCATGCCTCCGCTGTGGATGCTAGATCTAGCGTGCAGGGTTTTACTAACTCCAGAAGGCAAAGTATGTAGGAACAGGGGGTGGGGGCGTTCTAGCGTGAGGGTACCCCAGTAGGCAAGCTCTAACTTTCGTGGAGGATACCACCCCAATATGTATCCAAGGGTGAGTTTTATCCTGCTAGAACCTTGGACCAGCAGGTAAAGGGGAAGTGAACCCTAAACCCTAAACCTGAGGTCAGCAACATGATAGGGGCTCTTCAATTGCTCCTGGCAGTCTCCATCTTCCAGCTTGCGTGCTTGGGCTTTAAGCAGAGAAAGCTTGGGTACGGGCTTAGGGTTTAGGGTAGGGCGCACATTGCAGCGTTTGGCTCATGTCTGCCCCTTTGTAAATTCAATGCATGCCTCTATAGTCCCGCTTACGTAGATAGAATATGGGGTATGTGGGGATCTTGTTATGATATACCGAAGCCACATTCTATCTACTTAAGGGGGACTATAGGCTCATCTAGGTTTAGGGTCTAAAGAGGGCGGTCTCCAACGCCACACTATTGTGAAGAGCTATCCTTGTAAAGAGTCGGATACCTTACACAAGTGCTGTGGAACTGCACGCGAAGTCTAGCCTGCATCGGGAGTCACGTCGTCTTAAGTAGCTGGGTGCCCACAAAGCGCAAATTCAAAGTCATGTTGGGGCTTTCAGTATCATGTAAGGTGGATTCCAAGGTTCCAAGAACCAAAGCTTTGGCATTGAAAGCGTCCTTGGAGCAAAGTTCTGACCACAAAGCTTTTTCAGCCACCTGCGAATAAGCAGAGCCTGCTAAAGATGAAGCCCCAGATGCATTCATACAGGTTTAGGGTTTGATTAGGGTTTAGGGTTTCATGTTTAGGAAAAAGACGGCCTAAATGATTACCAACAATGGTCAGAGCTTGAACCATGATTTAGGGACGCGACGCGAGCATTTCTCAAAACTAATTCCATAAAATGCTTGCAAGGAATCATCTGTTAATCCGTATGTTTCCTTGCCCCCCAACTTTCCTCCCCCCGCCCGCTAGCATCAAGCCTTTCTCATAAAAGGCTATGTGCTGGGGCACATCCAATATGAGCTTACTTATTTCAATCACCAAGGATCACTGACTTGCTGGTGGTTACTAGGGGATAAGGGAATGTAATCCTTCCGTACTACGTACCCACCAGCAAATTGCATCCTCACCTGCGTCACCTTGATTTGAGATGCGCGGTTCAGCAGTTCTGCTGTCCCCAAGGGTCCAAATTCCTAAGAATCATATACTTACTCAAAACCTGTACTACAATTACTATTACCCTAAACCAACTACCTAATTATTGGGTACTTGGACGTTTACGTAGGTGCGTGGCAGAGTTCCCTCGAGAAGATGCGCAGCAGACCTACCAGCAGCTTGCATCGGTCTGAGGCATTCGGATTGAGGGGCTTAGGTTTTTACATGTATAGTCCCCCTTAAGTAGATAGAATATGACTTAAGATAGATTTTTGTAAGATCCCCATATACCCCATATTCTATCTACTTAAGGGGCCCTAAATCCTAAACCCACATAATCCTTTACAGTAGTAGCCATTTTCCATTATCCCTATATGGGTGGTTGTCAAAGTTATGGTCCTTTTTTGGGTCCCTATTCTAATACGGCACCTATTATTTAGGGTACCCAAAAAGGGACCATAATTTTGACAACCACCCATATAACCCCAAGAATCTACCCCATAATCTACCAAAAAGGGGGGACTATAGGGATGAGGATTCGAGCCCTGCACTGGTCTAAAGGATGGTAAAGGGTTTAGGGTTTTGGGTTTTGGGTTTTGGGTTTAGGGTTTTGGGTTTAGGGTTTAAGGTTTAGGGTTTAGGGTTTAGGGTTTAGGATCATAGGTGTGTGCCTGAGGGTTCACCCTGTGGATTGAACAGCCTAGCTCATGTGAGCCGTAGTCTAAACTCCTAGTAGCACCCTTAATAATATCTATATATGCTCCCTTATATAATCCCCTATCAAACCGCCTTTACGGAGTTTAAGCTCTGGCTCATCTCTGCAAATTTGAACCCGTGAATGATATAGGGGACCTAAATTTCTTACCGCCACCTCAGTTGAAGCTGTGATAGAGGTCGGATGCTGCCCCAACTCACTGACAGTTGGATAGTAGACGGAATATAAATATCAATGCATAAAGCCCTTGATGCGGCCCCCCAGTATAGACTGTTACTGGGTGGGGCAATACTCAGGGATGTATGTACAGTTGCTTGAAAGGTTGCTTCCCACCTTTAGTTTTTTAGACGCAGCCCCAAACCGGACCAACTGTGTTTTCATGGTTTGTTTTATGTAGGCTCAGAAGGACTTCCATCATGTAGGTTTCTGATCACATATTATACCTGTAGTTATCTGACATGCATCTCAAGTTGGGCATGTTGAGAACTCTCAGTGGAAACAGGACCACCTGTGTTTTCATGGCTCGTTTTATGTAGGCTCGTAAGGGCATCCATCACAGGTTGCTGATCACATGTTTTACCTGTAGTTATCTGACATGAATCTACAAGTTGGCATGTTGAGGATTCTCAGTGGATATCCACTGCCATTGAGCCCACTGATATTGATGGTTTGGCAACCAGATGTTTGCCAGGTGCTAGTTCGCATCCGAGTTCTAGATCCCGGCTACTGTTTTTTTTTTAGGGCTACTATAGGGTCAGTACACATCTAGGTTCCCATTGAAGTCCCACCCACTGCGTCCGGGAAGCCCCCATTGGGGCACTGACTATGCTACAACAACGTAGTATCTCCGGGTACAAAACTTGGCTGACTTTGGCCTGGCTCTTCGGACTTTAGAACCCTAAACCCTAAACCCTAAACTTAATCATACTAGGGAGGCTAGAAGTGAAACTTTTGGAGAAGTCGCGCCTTCACCTTGAAAGCTACATGGGGGTTTCCTGAAATTAGGGGTACCCTTTTTAAGGGGTCCCTATAATAAGGATTATAATATTTTGGGGTCTATATTGGGGTCCCCTTATTTTGGGAAACTACCACACAAAGCTGCCATAAGCCCCTGCCCGCAGCCCAGGATTGCACTCAGCATGGGCAAGGGCGGTGCCCTCATCGCCCCCTGCCTTGTTCAGGTTCAGGGGCAGGTCACGGTAACAATTGGAACTTTGTGGACTCAGCAGGTCATCCTGCATGGGTTTTAGCATGTGGGATACAATACGCAGTGTGTCGAGCTTTTTTCCTCAGTTGAGGCCTGTATGAGTCTACACCATGCACTCGCGAGGTTGGTCTTGACTGACTCGGGGCTTTGCAGCTATGCCAGGCAGACCCAAGTTTGAGGAACAGTTATTTTTGTTTGTCTGATGTTGGCGATCGCCTGTGACAGATGCGGCGTCCTAGATTTTAGCCCTCAACCCTTCTGCTGTTGCTTTCAGATGGCTGCGCCTGCAAACCCTGGAGGATAGTCTGACTTCAAGGCATGCAAGTGGCGACGTATACGCAGGCACAACTTCAAATTTGCGATGCGGCAATACTGTAGTGAAGGTTATCGTAAGAGGAACGCATGTCTTCAATCACGCAGCTCCCCTTCAACCCTCGCACAGATTGCCGTTTGGCAGCTGTTTGTCCCTTTTTGGGTGCAGGCATAACTATATTCTGAGGCCAGCGCATGCTGCATCAACGTGTTCAACATTTTGATGCACTGGTGCATTCCGGTCCCTACAGCGCGCTGGAAGAGAGGCAGGGTAAGGGTGTACTACTTTTTGTCCAGGGTTTCGGGTTAGACAACCTGTAAAATTTGAGGTCTTCTGCTGGCAAGATTCTCAAGTCTTTGTAGGTGACATCGAGAGCCTTTTGAGTGTTCAGGTTCTATGGCAGCTACGGAGCTAAGGATGCTCCATACCTGTAGCCGACCTTCGGCCCTTTTGTACACCCGGCCCTGAAGCATCCATTGCCAACGCTAGCATGGAATCGCCGAAGCCTCGTTACACCCGCATGCCTCAAGTGGTGAGCGGCAAAACTGCAAAAGCAGGGTGTCCCGAGATCTAAGATGTCTCACTTGCGGGAGGTCTGTGTCCTTGTCTACGTTTCCTTGCGATTGTGTGCAAGCTCTCGTCGTCCTAAAGCAAAGGTCCCTTGAACAGTCGCAACTAGGAAGCTAGTACCCAAAGGCTCCATGTAGCTATATGGTATATAGTTAGGCCCTAAAGTAGTTGTATGGGAACCTTTTTGGGGCCAAAGTATATACGATATAGCTACATGAAGCCTTTGGAGTATATACTATATAGCTACATGAAGCCTTTGGGGGAGTTCATAAGGCTGGTTCTTTTCTCGGTGTACAAGGACCCCAGGGTTAAGGGCCCATACTAGCGGCCCAGGGTTACGACAACAGGTTCTATGAAACATATAGACGGTAGCTCAACTACGGTTGGTTGCCCTTGAATATCTTGAGGACCTCACGCCAACCCAGCCGTAACCCCCGATAACCTTCTCACAGCCACACCCACAGGCCCACGAGTTTCAGAAACGCCCGCAGTTTCCCCCAGACCCCAAACCCCCAAGTTACAGCCAAAGGCCTACGTACCCTTAATTTGGATACCCCATGTCCGGCCGCCGGCTGGCGGGCCGTCCCACCCCCCCGGCCCCCGCGGAGCGGCCGGGCCGTGCCCCAGGGATGATAAATGACGATGGATTCAAAGGTTCTTTCAAAAATAATCAAAGCGGAAGGAATGCCCAGAGGAGTCATAAACGGAAATATATTGGACTGAATTAGAGCAGGAATTATGTGGATTAAATGGAACTTTCACACAGAACAGACGAGAACGACCTCCCCTCCGCTGCGGTGTGAGGAGGGCTGGCTGGGGTGGAAATTAGGGATCAGGGTTTGGGGACGACATCAGAAGGCCAGCTTTGGGGAGCAGATGTGCCCGTACCAGCATTCATAAGGAGAAACTCAAGGCCATGAACCTCGCAGCTGAGTCAATTCCTGAAAACCCTAAACTCTAAACACTGAAAGGGGAGAATAGGTCTCTGAGCTGTTCAATGTTCACAAGATTGCGTGACAGAATCCTAACGGGTGAACCTTATATTCTACTCTGAACCTTACCCTAAGGGTCCAAGGACCCAAATAATAGGGTTTTAGGGCCCAAAGACCATTAATATTTTAGTATTTGGGTCCTAAAACCCTGTTATTTGGGTCCTTGGACCCTTAGGGTTAGGTATTAAACCGTACCGTCCCTAAGGCCCCTTTGAGCAACTCCCGCGCGGTCTCTGAGCCTGAACCCCATTTGCTCCTAAACTCCTGACGCCGTCAGCACATAACTCTATTTCCGAAACCTCTAGGCCCTAAACCCTGAACCCTAAGCCCTAGACCTAAGCCCTCAACCCCAAACCCAGAAGGTTCAGGAGTCTACTGCGGTCAGCGTTTTGTATTTTGGTTGGTGGGTGTGGATATGGTTTCTCCGGAACACTGAGTGCATGTAATTGATGCCCTCACGGGCTGCCTACCATATACAGGCTCCACAACTCAGGATTGCCATGCGCGAAGGTTTAGGGCTCAAGGTGTAGGTTTTACAAAGGGTAACCTAGGCTTATGAAAGAAAGTTTCAAGGGTCTAGGCTGAAGCTGGAGTAGCCTAGATTAGAGGGACTGGGAAGCATTCGAAACCCAACTCTAAGTATTTTTGCATGGATACTCACCGTAAAGAACCCTAAAGGTCAATGTATCTAATACTTGAGTACTTAGGATTTTGGTGTTAGTAATCCTAGTATATCCTAGTACAGGTTTTGTGGAAGTATATATTTGTGGGGTACTTGGACCCTGAGGGGAAGTGAAATGCCAGTACTGTTAGGTATAAACCCTGAACCCCTAAACCCTAAACCCTAAGCCGTGAACCCTCTGCCAAGTAGGGCTCATGGTTTAGGGTTTAGGGGTTGGTACGCCTTGTGCAAAGCACCTAGACTCCCAAGTCAAAGTGACCTAGACCACATTCCCCGCTATCCTTCGACTGAAAGCGGGCTGCTCAGGCAGTTCACCTTGAATGAGCACATGAGCGCTGCAGCCAGAAGCCGAGTTCAAGCAGTTCAGGGCCGTGGGTTTAAGACGCAGGTTTTAAGGCTCAAGGCTCAGGGTTTAGGGTTTAGGGTTTAGGGTAGGTTTAGGGCTCAGGCTGGAGGATGTTGGGTTCAGGTTTGGGAGTGGCCGGTAGGTATCGTAGGCTTCGTTAAGCCCCAAATCTAAAAATCAAACCCTCAACACTAAACTTGCGTATAGTTGTTTACCCTGAACAATACAACACTTGCCCCCTAATGAAGAGTTCAAAATACCCTGGACGTCAAAGTCTATACAAGTACCTGCTTTGGGCTTGTTTAGGGCCGTAAACCCTAAACCCTAACCGCGTTGTTTCTTGTTAGGGGCTGGGAAATAGACCTACGGGTCCAAGGACCCAATAATAGGGTTTTAGGGCCCGAATAGGATTTGGCTCCTTGGACCCTTAGGGTAGGTTTCAGGCTTCAGTCGCAGTGGCGCCAGACTCCTGCCTGGAGGCTTCGTTAGGGGTTTAGGGTTTAGGGTTTAAGGGTTCAAAATTTTAGGGGTTTAGGGGTTTAGGGTTTAGGACAGCTTGCAAAGGAATCGTCTAGATTTTCTTGGCGGATATGGGCTGGGACGGAGGATAAGTTGGCGAACATCTCTGAACGAGTAGTGCCCGGCTCCTCCATCTCCACTTCCAGGATGGTTGCGAGGCTTTTTTGGCTCATTGAATTTTCTCTTTGCACTACTAATATCCCTGTCACCCCTTGCAATGACCCTGAGGTCCCTTGACCCTAAGTTCCTTCAAACCCGATCCCTAAACCCTAATCCTAAACCCTAAGCCCTACACCCTACTCTCCGTTGCTCCGAGGTGTGGGAAGTGAAGGGAGAATCAGTGGGGCTTACAGCAAGCACGCGAGTCAGGATCGCGAACGTAAAGCAGTAGCCCCTGTCCTGTGGCTTACGCAGTCTCAGTTACGTGCACAAAAGTTTGAAGAGGGTTTTGGGCAGGTATATCAAGCTTTACTTGGATCATCAGAGGTACAAGTGGTTGCTTTTGCCAGGACTCCAACTTCTTAATCCTAATCCCAAAACTGTGCTAGTCCCTGACACCTGCAGCGTGATTTCGTGCTTTTGTACAGAAACACTTTATCCTCGAGGGTCCAAAAACCATTATATGATGGTTTTAGGTCCCCAAAAAAAGTTGAGAGTCTAGACTCCAAACCCTGAACCTTTTTGGAAGCTGAAACTACCACATTCTAAAGGGTTTAAGCTTCAGCTTCCCTATGTAAGATACACATGTCCTTTTGGCTGGGCGATTTACAAGAAACATGCAGTCTGACGTGGTTCAGCAATCAAACACATTACTCATATGGGTTGTCACAAAACTGCATGCCAGCTTCAACGTTTTTTTGGCACTAAAGATCGTCATGCTACAGTTCGGGGATACGAAGGCGCCAGGCTAGTAAGATTGGCCTAAACCCTAAACCCTGAACCCTAAGCCCTAAACCCTGAACCCTGAATCCTAAGGCCTAAACCCTGAGCCCTTAGCTGTAAACTCTAAACCCTATACCGGTTTTATGATTAGGCTTGGACCTTCCCCAGGTCATTGAGGCTTTCTGCCGCTTGCATGAGTGCGATGCCCAGATACTTGCATCCCGAGTGTTTGTCAACATCAAGGTTCCCCTATAAAATGCAAAGTTTAGGGAACTTTGTTTATGGTTTGGAGTTTCCGGTTTAGGGCTTATGTAGCAATTATACCGTAATGTCTGCTTAAACGACAACATCATCTCGGCGAGTGCCCGCATGCCTGCCATTGTCAGACCTAAACCCTCAACCCAAAAACCCTAAACCCGAACCCCCTAAAACCCTAAACCCTAAGCCCCTAAACTCTAAATTCTAAACCCCTAAATCCTAAACCTCTAAACCCTAAAGCCCAAAACCCTAGATCCTAAGCCCTAAACCCTTAAACCCTTTCATATGGTTTTACCATTTCACACAGAATCAGAGCTGTTACCCCAACTTGCGCTTTCAGGGAGGACCCTAACTCTTCCAGTATCAAATAATCATATGAGCTATAGTCTAAACCTCCTAAAGGCAGCTATATAGGGGATCATATAGAGGACGACTATTGGGGTTGCTAGGGGGGGATGCTAGGAGTTTAGACAACGGCTCATACGGGTAGTTCCCAAACTTAGGGTCTCATTTTGGCTTGGTACCCCTAAGTGCCGCAATAAAATCTATAAAGTCTCTAGCCGAAAGGGGCCCATAATTTTGAGAAGAACCCGTATGCTTGCCCAAAAGTTGCACTGCAGTTGCTAGTCCTCCCCGCCAAAGTACTAAGTTTATCGCACTGTTGATATCGAAGGTCCTGCATGACTGCCTAAGTTCCCAAAATTTTGTGAAGGCTCTCCTTGCACGTAGCAAATCTACTTAGTCACAAGGGATAGGGGGTTATACAATACGGGGTACGGGGATGGCTGGTAGACTTACCAACGCCAAAGATCACCCAAGTAGAAACCTGCAGACAGCTTGGGAAAGGTTATTTCAGCGGAGGCAGAAGGCTTTATGTTAGGATTTAGAGGCGGTTTAGGGTTTAGTTTAGGGTTTCGGGTTTAGGACTTAGAGTTTAGTTTTTAGGGTTTTGCCAAGTCGTGGGTTCCTACCACAAAGGCCTAGAAGGTCT